TTTTTTTTTTTTATGTTGGGAAATACCCCAATAAGCTCTATTAAATGCATCATTCATAAATTCTTGCTTTCATGCTTCAAAAGCACACCCACTTTGAAGCATGGAGCTTGTTTCTCAGACGAGTTGGTGGGAGGCTTCGAGAAGCTACATATATTACTTTTAGTGCAAAATAAATTATTCTGGCAAAAATAGTTAAGCGAGGATAGAACCATTCTCTTGAATTTCATTTGCACAGCAGGCCAGTTCCCCTCCCTTGGGGTTATCTGCGGGAGCAGCCAGCAACAAGATTATTTCTTTCCTCTGACCCCCTATCAGGGAAAAAGATTTCAGCCTCCCTTAGCTGCTGCAACATGCAGTGAATCATAAACTCGTCTGTCTTCCACAGCCTTTTGCTTTTAAGTGTATTTCTGATTCAGAGTAGTGTGTCGAAGCCAATGAATCTCAGGCCTGAAATGGTGATAAAATATTCATCCTTTTAATTCTTAACAGTTTTATTAATTGTGTTAAATGTATAGCCAGCATGCTAAACAATTATGATCAAGAAGAAAAATGGAGCTATTACATTCATTGTTAGTTATCTGCTCTCAGGCTTACAGATACTTATGCAGCCAGGACTCAGTTCATTGACAGACTATGTATAAAGAACAGAACATCACAAATCCTACCTTTTAAGTCAACAGATTTCATCCAAGCCTATCATCCCAGAGAAGCAGAAGTGGTGTTTATATTCTAAGACCAATGTGAAAGAATAGCCAAAATTTGGGGCTAGAAACAGAAACTATTTACACACACACACACACACACACAAACCCACTGTTATTATAATTTAAAATATTATATGAAAAAGAAAAGTCATTTTAGGAAAAGAGTAGAGGGAACTTTTGGGGCATCTCCTTTTCAGATTTGGGGTGCCTAGATGGCTTCTAAGAGCTAATGGTACCAACTTCTTGGACCATATTTCTTGATGAAAATGCTTCTAGAGTAGTCTGGGAGTTGTTATTCTCAAAGTTTTAGGGCACACAGTTATAACACGCAGGGTGGAAACGATGAACTGTCCTGTATCCAGTAGATGGGGGGGATGGAAGGATGTGAAAAGAGCGAGTCTTCGGAGTGTGACCAATACTCCGTATAAACTGTCACCTCTCATTCAGACTTGGAGGATATTTCAGCTTATGGCAAAACTCCCAACAAACGTCCCAAAAGATTCACAGAGATCTCTGACTTCTATGGAAACAAAATGTTCTCCCTCATCCAAACTAAAATGTTATCAGTATGATTTTGAAAAAGGAAAATGGAATTTTGAAAAATCCAGGAAAAAATGAAATCATATAAACTTAGGTTCATCAGACATTAAAACACACACAGACAACCCCCTCCCCCCCTCCCCACTGATTGTCATGGTCCCTGCACGGAGCTGCCCCATCCTTTCTGATAAACACTGGCAAGCAGCAAGGCAGGTAGGCTGACACCAGTCTTCTCCAAAACTCAAAACCCAGTGGACAGAGTGGCACTCATGGGCCTGGGTGACTGCCACAGGGCACCGTTTCCTCTTTACCTTTCCCGTCCTCTGTCTATAAATCCCCCCCATACCCTGGGACCCCTTCTTCCTGCTGTTTTCCTTCAAGCAGCAATTTCCTCCCTATCACCTTCTCCCGTGGGGATCTGATGTCCCCTGGGGCTTTAATACCCAGCACTGCCTCCCACCTAGGATTCCTACTAGCTTCAATCTCACTCCTGTTTCTAAATGCCTGCTGGATTTCACCTGAATGTTCACAATAGATTTTAAAATGCCATAAATGAAACCGAACCGATCTCTGTATTTTCTCACCTACAAACCGTCTTCTCTGCTTCCTGAAAGGGTGCCATCATCTTCTCAGATACGCAGTCCTATAGCTTGTAGGTGGGACTCTTTGTTATCTCTCCCATCCAATTCATTGCCAGGTCCTGCTCATTCGATCCCCACTGTATTTCCGGCGTCCTTTCTTCTTTCTATCAGTGACTGCAGCTGTAACTTCAACTCTGTTGATTTTCTTTCTCTTTCTTGTTTGCCTGCCCCTGCAGACCTGTCATTTCACATGGAGACCACTACGCTGCGTTGCTCCATTGCTCAAGAAGAATCACAGTGGGTCTCTACTCAAGTTCACTTTTCTTAGCCTGACATTAAAGATTCTCTCTTGCCTCAGCTAAATTTATTTTCTCCTGACTCAGATCTTACGTCCTTCCCTTCCTGTAATGTACACTGTTGCTGAATTGAATTCTTCATGACATCTTAAGTGTGCTTTATACTTTTCATCTCCGAGTAGTTAATGCTGCTCCTTCACTGGAAAGCTAATTTCTTCTTTCCTGATACACCTGTTCAAATTCTGACTATTCTTTGATAATAAGCAGGAATTTTACCTTGTTAATTAAGCTTTCCCCTGATGTCCTGAGTTGAAGGTGATCAGCCTTTCCTTGAACTTTTAACAGTTCTTCTTCTGTTTCTACATTTTGGCATATTTATCACTTTTCAAGCTGTTTCTTCTTTTGTTTAAGCCTCTTCTTCCCTACTAGATTGAAATCAAATGATTTGACCTGTTAACCTCTGAATTCCTCCACATCCCTTAGCGTAAGAAAAAGGTATATTCCTCCTCAAGGGACTGGGCATTGGTAGGAGAGAAAGCACTCACACAAGTATATTTAAGAATAGATACTGAGTGACTGAAGGGGTATGGAAATCATCTTAATTTTATCTCTCTGTGGAAGATCGAGGACATTATGTAGTCTAAATCATACCACATGTGTGATGAAAATCAAAAAATTCTGTCAGTAACTTTATTCTCCAAAGTCCACTAAGTACTGCTTAGCCAAGTACTCTAGGCGTCTTTTTATGGGAAAACCAAAACCTCTAAGTGAGACATTTTAAGACAGAAACAACATAGTACAGGTATATACATTGTTGGAAATCTTAGTGGAAATTCGTTTATCATCTCAAATTGAAAATGATTTAGATTTAGGCTTGTCCAAGTTCATTAAGAACAGACTTTTTGTAATGCAATGTTGACTTGGTCTAGTTCTCCGACTTTGTCTTGTGGCTGGGTTAAATTTCTACAAATTTTATCTCTTTATTCTGGTGGAGGTGGGGGAGAGAATGATGATTTATTTGTGCTTAAAAATAGTTTTACTGCAGTGTATAGTTTATATTTAGGATTTTCTTTTTAATTTTTTAGTATAATCACGGTTGCACGGTTTTCATGCATAGCATCCATGACTGGATTTTGGCAATCCTCAGTTCTGATAAATGAAACTCTCCTTAGTATTGTGTTCAGTTTTTTATATAAGACAATAGTCTGAAATCTGCACCACAATCAGCCTGTGTTAGGTTGTTTATTGGTACTAGATTGGACTGAGTTTATAACTTGGGAGTCACTTTGGCAAGATTCTCACAAAAAGTCTGAGTAATTCTTTAGCAAGACTGTGAATCTTCAGGAGATTTACGGGACTATCGGGACAAAGAATAAACAGAGGCTGCTAATACTGCTGCAGAACGTGGATGCTGAGGCATCACCAGCGTCTCTCTTTAGGATGATACATTTATTTATGCAAATGAGTTTATTTGTGTTCACTGAATTTCAGCTCATAACATAAAGCCCTGAATATTCATTAAGAAGCAACAAAATTCCTTGCTTAGTCAGTGAGGCATTGTTAGCTAAATCCTCTCTCGAGGTTCACGTCACTTCTCAGGAAGTTTGCAGTATATGGGTCAAATTTCTTATGTTCTATCGGTTGCAAAACAGAACTTATATCCTAAATAGAAACCATCTAGGAGAAGTCTCTAAAGCTGCCACCAGCCCTCTGGGGTACTTCACTGTTTGCTAAAGATAGTTACAAATGTCCTACTCCTTCATGTTATATGAAATTAACTTTAAATGTTTATAGAAATGTACAATAAATGGTTCAATACATTGAGACTTGGTGTGACAAGGGGCATTCACAAGGTGTTGGGAGTGTTTTAAATTTGAAAAGCTCTACTTAGCTTGAGTTGCTTTGAACATAGTATGTCCTGGTGTGTCCCAAGTGTTCTCATTGAGTTTAAACTTTCTCCAATCTCTTCTAGATGTGTCTACACATCAAAATGCACTTCTGCTTCAGATGTTCAGTCTGTTCCCCATCAGGACTTCACTATTCTGTTGAGTTCCCTTCCAATTGCCTTGGGCCTTGATATCCCCTTCCTCTCTAATTCCACTAGATGGGACCCCACGTCACTGACAGGGGCCATAGTTTGATCCAGTGAGAATGCAGACTTGAGACTTGGCTGTATCTGCCTGAGTATCACCACTGCTTTATCTGTTTACCTGAACTCCATGCCCCTTCCTTTCCACCCTTAGGGTAGGATGTCTACGAGAGCCAAGGCAACCTGAATAGACAGTTTTCTTGGATGTCCTGGGACTGCTGCCTCCCCCGCTTCTAACTGCAGATGGTCAGCCGTACAGCTAATCTTGTTACCTCAGTTCATATGGCTTCCTCCATCCCTACTGAGTTCCCTAGAAGCTGACTTTGGGCACTTACACTCAAATATTAGTTCTTTCCATTTTATCATGTTTTTAAATGCGTAAAATTCTTCACTATTTAAAATATAGACTGCCCCCATTTATTTCCATTAATTCCCAAGAGAAGTAATTCATCAGTTTTTAAGAGCTGTTTTGGGTAAAAATGCCTTCTAAGACTATTCCCTGATAGCCATTCTATCAGATGTTCAAATAACACAAGGAAAAGTTGAACTAACAGACATTTCTACCAGAAAGACAATCTCTGAAAAAAAAAAAAAAAAAACCTTGTGAACCCTCTTACTTGTTTTGTTTTTTAAATAGCATTTAGTGCACAGGCTTTTAGACTAGTCTCTGTAGCTGGACGAGAAAATATTCTTGTGTTAGATGGAAGAACACAGACACACTATAACATATGACACGACATATAGAGTTATAATGGGCAACAGAGCAAACTAGAGTAAAAGGAAGTATTACCTTAGGGTCATGTATTCCAGAAAGCTCTTCATAGATCTTCTCACCTACCATGACGGCAGCCAAGTTTGCAGTATATGTAGAAAGGCAAAACATACAGAAAATTGCCCAGAGGTTCATTAGAAACCTTCCAGTCCAGCATTTTGGGGGTTTGATGGCTACCGTTCTACCAAATAAGAGGGCATAACAGACATTCAAGGCTGAAGAAAAGGAGAAGACTTTACTTCTATTCCGCCCCTTGGGAGTCATTCCAAAGGGGCTCTTCCATTCGTACAGAGTGAGAAATATGGCAGTGATGTGTAGAGCCACAAAGATCCCCAGCCACATTGTCCAGTGGAGTGGCCACATGAAAGCTCCAATAGGAGCTGCTGTGTCTCGGGTCCTCACTAAGATGCCCAAGCTGGTGGAGAAAAAAGGGCTGGTGAAATCTATCACCTGGCTCCGTGCCGTGTTGATGCTGAAGGAAGTTACTGCCATGTTGGCAGTCCCACTCAGGAGGTCACCCACCAGCCCCGTCCAGTGCCCATTTTTCCAGGCTCCATACTTTCCATCCCCAACAATATAGAGGTCAAAGTCAAAGTTCATGTCTTCTGCTAGTTTTTCCAAGAGATCAATGCAATATCCATAGCAGCACTTTCTGAATTTAAGGGGTACGGTATCATTACCACTATGGAGGCTGCTAAAAAGGCTGTCCAGTATAGAAGAGTCATTAGTCATGGGGTCTAGACAGAGTTGGCCAGCAGGGCACAAGCCTTCATCATCTACCTCCCTTGTGAAGACAAATGGATGCTCAATCAGTGTAACGACTCTCAAGTGTAGCTTACTTGGGTGTTGGAAATGGGTTTTGTGTCTCTGGGCCTGCTCTGGCCATATTCCATAGTCCATGACAATCTTGCCCCCCTGCCAGCTGCCCAAGCGGGTCCACATTGGCTTCCCCATGGGGTCATGTTGCAGATTCCAGATGAAAAAGTTGTTTTCTGAGCTGATGATGGTGGAACCTTTTACTTTGATGGAACCACTGAGGCCTCTGAAAGTGGTGTTGGCTAGAAACCTGTCAAAGAGAAGCAAAGACAGAAAGTGAGGAAGAAAGGTGAGGCCAAAGATGAGAAGGAATGTTTGTCTTTTCACCACTGTCTTTCTAATTATTAAGGATGATATTACCTATAATTTACTTAGGAATTAATAAACTGGACTATTTCTAGAAGTAGAGTTCTATTTCATTGAACTAATACGGTCTTATCCTCAGGTTCTAACACCCTGGCCAGGAGCTGGACTCTTGATCTTACTCTAAATCTTTTTTTTTTTTTTGGAGACAATCTCACTCTGTAGCCCTGGGTGGAGTGCCATGGTGTCACAGTTCATAGCAACTGAAAACTCTTGGGCTCGAGCAATCCTCTTGCCTCAGCCTCCTGAATAGCTGGGACTATATGATGCCCAGCTAGTTTTTCTATTTTTAGAAGAGATGGGGTCTTGCTATTGCTCAGGCTGGTGCTGAACTCTTGAGCTCAAATAATCCACCCAACTCGGCCTCCCAGAGTGCTGGGATTATAGGTGTGAGCCTCTGAGCTCAGCCCTTACTCTAAATTTTGTAATTCCTAGTTAAGAGATACATTAACTATTTTCTGTTATAAACTATTGACTATATATTCTCATAATTTCTCAAGCTGTAGAGGTTCTCAGCAGCTTTAACATATCCTATTTTCATTGTCAAATACATTTGCTTGCCACTAAATTTGCTCAAAAATATTTTGTTTTTGGTGCAAGGAGTACATTTTAATAAGTATGCATATACTTTTATAATTGCTTAAAAATTTCATTCACAGCATTAGAAAATAGCCAAATCTCATTACCAGTGTTTCTTCTTATGGAGTGGAAACAATCACCATATCTGTCCCCATGAGGCCAGTAGAAGCTGCCTGTTGGGTATCAACCACGGAACAAAGAAAAAGATGATACATCAACTTGCAGTTCTCAGCATAGCCTCCAGCTACTCTTCCTCTAAGTCATTAGAGGAAAATCTATTGGCCTTGGCTCTAGAGAGAGCTTTTGCCAAAAGTCAAATAAAGGAAAATTACTAACAAAATGATATACTGATTTCTAACCCTGAGAACTAGGGCACTTTCAACATATGTTCTGATATGGACCAGACAGGAAAACTAGACTGATATGGCTTGGTCATGGCCTCTGGCTTTCTTGAGTCTGGGAAGATAAGACAATAAGAGGTAATATATGAGCTTGTGTTATCTTAAGGAGACCTTGTGTTAGAATAAAAGCTCAGCCTTTGGCATCAGGCACAGATGAATTTGAATGTTGGCCTAGCTACTTGCACTCACTGACCTTGAACAGTTTAGTTAACTGCATGCTTCAGTTTTGTTATCAGCAAATGGGAAAAAATAATACTTTATTACAAGAGTTGGAAATAACTGATGTATAGAACATACCACACCTTCTGACATAGAACAAATATTCCGGACATTGCAGCTATTATTTAATGTCATTTAAGTTTAAAATTTTGTTTTAATCAAAACCATTTCCAGGCCACTTTTCCAAGGCCTTTATTAAAATTTTTCCTATGGCCAGGCATAATGGCTCACGCATGTAATCCTAGTACTCTGGGAGGCCAAGGCAGGTGAAGGAGGGTGGATCACTTGAGCTCAGGAGTTCAAGACCAGCATGAGCAAGAGTGAGACCCCATCTCTAAAAATAGCCAGATGTTGCGGCATGCACCTGTAGTCCCAGCCACAGGAGGCTAAGGCAAGAGGATCTTTTGAGCCCAAGAATTTGAGGTTGCTGTGAGCTGTGATGCCACAGCATTCTACCCAGGGTGACAAAGTGAAATAATTTTTCCTAGTTAGAGACAGAAAGTATTACATTATGGTAAACCCATATCAGTTACTCAGGACACATTTCAAATTAAAACAAACATAAATTGAAATATAGAATGTAACATAGTACGTATTTTGAAGAACCACATAGCCCAAGCCTGGGCTCACAATAAAATACATTCACCCATTGCCTGCCATAGACGTTCCATAATTTACAAATGCATAAGTAAGTTATGTTACCATAGAAGAGACATGGAAAAGTAAAGAAGTATCAAGTACATACTAATTTTAATTAGAGATATAAATATAAATCACATTAGAAAATGCTACTATCACTAAATCTAATGAAACTGTTCATTTTGGTAGATTGCATGTAATGGTAATTATTCATGTTAGCACTCCCCAGTGGGACTCTACCACATAAAATAAATTCTATTTTGCAGCAAGTAATGAAGTCTCAGCTATCTTAGATTTTAAAACCTTTTTCTGCTTCTTTACAGAAGTAAGGAGCCAAATCATTAAATATATACAGATTAATCAATTGATAATTACCTGGGCACTGCAAGAGAAAGGTGACTATAATTATGTTCCTGATAAGAAATCTACTTTTAGATTTGTTAGAACAACCATAGACACACACAGTTGCTGACATAACCTAGGTAATAAAATGATTAGTAGTTTAGAAACAGGTTAGTTTCTTTTGGTCAATTTATGAATTAGGAAAATAAGGTGAAAGTTGTGGAACACAGGAGCTCTTCATGATTTTAAGTATATTTGAGGCTTAATCATGATAGATTTTTAAATGGATGACCCTTGAGAAATGACCTCTGACTATATATTTAAACCATCACAGAAAAAGGGCATTAGAAATCTTCAGAAATCCTTAAGAAACTATGCAACTCCTTCATTCCAGTAAAACCTATCCTGATTATTAGGGTTTTTTTTTTTTTTGAGACAGAGTCTCACTCTGTATCCCAGGCCAGAGTGCCATGGTGTCACAGCTCATAGCAGCTTCAAACTCCTAGGCTCAAGTGATTTTCTTGCCTCAGCCTCCCGAGTAGCTGGGACTACAGGCATCTGCCACCATGTCCAGCTAATTTTTTTATTTTTAGAGACAGGCTCTCACTCTTGCTGAGGCTGTTCTGGAACTCCTGAGCTCAAGCAATCCACCTGCCTCAGCCTCCCAGAGTGCTAGGATTGCAGGTGTGAGCCCCTGTTCCAGGCCTGAATATTGGCTGTGAGTAACACCCAGGACAGCCATGACAAAGGGCAGTGCTCAGTTGTCTCTGAAGCACTAATTTGTCAAAGAAAGGAAATGAGGATCTAAATATCTCCAATTTTCCTTCTCTCTTCCTCTTTCTTTTTCTTTTTTTAGCTCTTGGGATTTTGGAGTGTACAGTTTTCTTTTTTAAAAAACATTAAATCATAACTGTGCATATTGATGCATTTATGGGGCTCAGTGTACTGACTTGATATACAATGTGAAATGCTTACATTGAACTGATTAACACATCCATCACCTCGCTTACTTATTTGCTGTGGTAAGACAATTGTATTCTTTCCTTAATAGTTTTTAAATGTACCATTGCATTATGCACATGAGGCGAGGTTCCCCTAAATACCCGGCCTCCTGCCACCTCCCCCCTCCCTGCCCCTCTCTCTCCTCTTCCCTTCTACTTTCTGGACAATAGTTATGTTTTACCATTCATATGACTGTGTAGGTGATTATATATTGATTTCATAGTAGTATTGAGGACATTGGATACTTTTAGAAAAAACAGGACTTATTTCAAACAATTGGATCCCAGGGAATCAGCACTTATGACAGACCATTTGTGCCTGTTTTATTTTTAGTCTTACGATGAAGGTAAATTAAAATAATCTTAACGACAGCTTTACTTATAGTCACCTTCAGTAATGGGATGACAAACCATATCAAAGTTTAAGTGCCCATTACCTTAGTTACAAGATTAGAAGGCTAAAACCTTGCTTCTGCCTAAATTGAATTTTAGCACATTCATTCTTTTTATCTTGCCCAGGACTCTTCTTGAATAAACATACCAAACAAATCAGGTATGATTTTATTGGCAATATCCATTGATAGAAATACCAGGCAGGGTTCTTAGCACTAGGGTTGCAGAGATGAACGCCAATCTCATTGGTCTTGTGGAGCTCAAAGTCACATTTGGGGAGAAAGAAGGTGAGAAGGCCACTCCAGCTGTCATAACGAGCATCGTGATAGAGGTGACGATGGTGCCACTGGAACAGGGGAGCAAGGACGCCTGCACCTTCTACTCTAGGGGTGCCAAGGAGGGATCCTTAGAAGGTGCCAGACCTGAGTCTCGAAAAAAGAATTACAGTAAGCTGGGAAGAGAAGCTGAGAGAGGATGCTGTCAGCCCAGAAAGATACGTGTACAAAGGCCAGAGACAGAGCGTGCAAGCTGTGTGATGATGAGAGAGGAAAAACGGGCTGCCGACAACGATGGGAATGGATCACATCAGATCTCAGGCCACCATGAAGGCA